TGAAAACTCTTCGAATCTCTGTGAAGATCATTTACATTTCGTTTAATATTTCGATTACTCGATCGAAGTTCTCGAGTATTTATTATTTTCGTTATTCCTTTCGACGAGGGAAACTGAAACGCTTCGCTCGTTCGTCCAATCGCCTCTGAGATCAAGTTTCTGTTAATTCTTATTTTATTCGCAGTATCTCGGTTACGATTTCCATCGAATCGAAAATCTTTCGAACCCACGATCGGTAAACGCGGTCAAATCAAGAAATGCTGAAGAGTTTCCGGTGGATCGATGGCCCGATGTCGGATGTGTTTACGAAGGAAAAGCAATCTGGGAACTCTCTTTACCCCGTCAACGTGGCTTCGTAATCGAGAATCGCAACTCCGTGCTAGATTCTGCCGACCGAGTAAGCCAAGCCACCGAATAATCCGCCTTCTCCTCCTTTCCGCTCGTGTATTTTGCGGCCAAAAAGGAGTTCGATTGTCGCGAAACTATTCAGGGGAACAATTTTTTATGATACCTCATCTCTCTTAAAAGGGTGTTATATTTCTAGATCTCCTTTTCAAAACTGTTGCTCGTCGTTTCTTAAGTTCAAGATATCCCATAAATGAATGCAGCGATCCATGGATCAAATAGTGGATGAAATATTTATCATGTACGTTTTATATTAATTATTTTAAATTGATTTGAAACTACTTTTTTAAACTTTACAATCGTCCATTTAGAGATTTCCCTGACGATTATTTTAATATATTTATCGATCGATTAATTTCGAAGGTGGGAAATTTTTAATACGAAGTCGAAAAATGTTTAAAAAAAAAAAAAAAAAAAAAAACTCTTGAATCGTTGGATGGCCTTCGCACGGTCCACGATCTCCATCATCAGGGACCCCCTTTTTATTGAGTTATTAGACTCATCCGCATCGTTTCCCTGCAATCTAAAGGGATCCCTTTGATTGTCCCATTTGTTTAACGAGACGATGAGCCCGTGTCACTTCAAATTCCCTCGCAGAAAGAATCCTGCCTCTCTAATTGGTCGCTCGATTATGCTCAATTGCGCCTCCGAGATGATACTTTGAACAGGAAAAAAAAAAAAAAAAAAAAAAAAAAAAGAAAAAAAAAGAAAACGGCGGTGCCACGATTTCGCAAATCTGTTTCGTTAGAGGGAAAAACGGCGGCCTCTCTTATCTCTCTGATCCTCTTTATTATACCTTTACGCATTTTAAAAATTCTAGGGAATTACAGCGCTATTACTATTATCGCCCGTTTCACTTTAATCGTTCCAAGATAAAAATATTCCAGTAAGAAATATAATTCGAAAGTTTTTTTTTCAAAAGTGGAGAAGAATGTATCCTTGGATTTATATAGTGCAACTCGTGAAAAAATACTCGTCACGAGGAGTTAAATAAACTTTGGATCATCCTCTCTTCGTTTTGAATCTCGTGTTAAAGAGGAGTCGTTTTTCTCACGCTTGACCTTAACCTATCTTAAACAATTAAATACTTAACGCGTCGACAAGATTTAAAATATACACAAAGTTTTACTAAAGTTTGTTAAAATATTTTTTTTAAACAACTTGTACCACGAGTTTCGAATTGAATTACAGATATGTTATCATGGTAACGTAAAACATCGATGTAATTAAATTAACTTGTTACGAAAGAGATTGTGCGAAAAACATAGAACACTTGTTTGAATATCATTTTGCTCGTGAAGAGTTTTGAGAAAGATGGCCTCTGTATAAATAAATAACCGAGAATTTTATCGAGCTTAATCTAGACATCGGTATCGTATTTCGTGTGAAATAATTTACCCTCCAAAAATATATCGTCGATCTACATTCAATGGCCGATTCCAATAACCTAAAAACCGAATCCCTTGGATCGTTTTACCGCACTTTCAAGCGTGACGAATGCTGGAAATTATCCGTTCGACTTATGCCCCGAGAAATGGATAACCTAGACCCATTAATCGTGTGAAAATCGAATGGTTAAGTTTTAACACACGGAAAAATATCTTGCTATAATTTATCATATGAAAAATATTTGAAACTAAAAAAAAAAAAAAAGAATTCGATATACCTATTAGATTCTTAATCCAAGAAATTTCTACATTCGAAAACAACTAATTATCGTTCATATCAAAATTCTAATTTCTCGTCTTAGCAGTAATTTATAAATATTTCAAACTCGGATCTTTTTCGCTTTACGCTTTACGAAAATCGCTATTTCCAAGGTCCAAACTAACTCTATTATCTTAAAATCAAAGGAAACATTTAATCCATTTAATAACCAATTTACCATACAACGCTCTACATAAAGCATATATATATATATATAATCAAAGGCCAAAGTGAACTTGTAACTAAAATCTACGTTCATTTTTAATTTATCATATTCGAGATTTATCTAAATTGAATAAATATCATTTCTATAAACTTGTACACGATATATTATAACAGAATATAGAATACATGACTACTTGCATACTCGAGTGCGGAACACGGGATGGAATCCATGAGAAATCACTTTCGTCCGTATAAATCGGCTGGCACATCGGGTGCCGGATTATAATCGCCACGTGCAGCTAGTAACGGCATTCTTGGGTGCCGTTCCCTCGCGAGAACGGCTTGTTTCGACGCTTGTCTCGGAAACTAGGCGAATCCGACTCGTGTTCGACACGAGCCGCTCGATTTCGTCTGGAAAATAGACAACGGGGGGGAGGAACGTTGCACGGATGGAAGAGAAGGCTGTTTTCACAGCTGCGACGATACCTCGTCGTTCTCCGCGTTATTATCGTTTGTTTCTGCTAAACAATCTCGACACGACGTTGGAACGTGACGAGAACCCCGTGAACGGCATTGGTATTTAAGGAACCAGTTGTTTGAAGGCACGTACACTCTCGGCTACAAGTCTCACTTTGCCAACTATAAACTGTAATGTTTATCAGGATATGTTTGTGATAACATCTTTAAAATATAACATAATTCAATTTTTCTTATATTATTTGTGATCGAAGCTTGAGTTTTAAATCGTAATTATAAAATTGTAATTTATATCTATCCTAAGTACACCAAATGTATGGACACTTATGAATAATAGTGTATGTGTATCGATGAGAATGTACAGAGAAATGGTCATGCGCGAGTTTTAGAAATCAAACGCTTTGGAGTGTAATGCGAATATAATTGTGAGTTTTGATACACTTATCAGATATGATATTATATATATATATGTATAACATGTATATCACTTTCTTGAGAAATCTCTTTTTATAGATAAATTAACTTGGATTTAAAATTAATTTTTTTTTTTTTATTATAGAAAAGTTCTAAAAATTTAGAAATTCAATTATGTTTAACCTGAACGACAAAAAATGATTTTTTTTTATGAAAAGAATAATTTTTATCATGAAATTTTTAAGATAAAAAATCGTAAATTATAATTAAAGATTTGTTTTTTTCTTGATAAAAAATAAGTATGAAATTTTGTTTTCAAACATGTCAGTTATCAAATTAAAAAGTTAATCATAGCTATGTCTTGATAAGAAATTACTTGCTTTTTTTTATATTTGAATAACAATTCCATGAGATATCGAGATTAGAAGATTAGAAGAATACTATAAACTAAGGAGGTATTATGAAAAAAGCGAAAACGAAAGCCCTTTGTTAATAAAGGAATCAAAGTTAATGTTTAACGCATCATCCGTCAATTCATAAGCCTTTAACATGGTTGGAAAAAAAAGTTGTATCCAAGCCTTGACTTCTAACCCTATATCCGTGCATGTACAGGCAACACACGTCTTTGATGGTGGTTTTCGTTGTAAGCGTAATTATTGGAAATCCATTACTTCTGAATGAAAAGACTTGCACAAGCTCGCGTCCCGAGTTTGCTTGCTCAATAATGCCAACTGACGAGTACATATAATTTATATTTATTTTCTATGAGATCACTTATGTTCCGTGACGATAAAATTCTTAGAATAAATATCAATTGTCACTAAAGCAATGAACGCAAATGAAAAATGTTAATCGTATCAATTTGACGTGACTCTGTACCATACACAAACCCATAAAACGTTCAGTATATCGTTAAATTGGCCATTCATCAATGTAATACGGAGACAATATGCTCGTTACATTTATGAGAACAATTAAGGGCAGGTTGAAACGTCAAGCAATCGGCGCAACGCATATGTAGATGCTACGCGTCGTTCAAAACATCTTAATTGTAATCAAATATACAATTTCGAGAAAGAAAAAATGCATCATAGTTGTAAGAACATAACAAGAAGTATATTGAAACGATGCTTAACCAATGTTTATGGAAGGGTTGAATTATGGCAATGATTTCGATCAAACATTAAACATATTCTATAAATTCATCTTTTGTGAATATATTAAAAGATGCTTTTACTCGTAAATTTAAAATTGAATTGTTATTAGGGAAGTTTATTAGATAATTGGAAAAAAGATATTATCTAAAAAAATTGAAAAAAAATATTTAAGTACAATATAACATTTTAAATATGTTTGATAAAAATATAAAATATTCAATTTGTAAAGCTACATAGTCACATACAAATATATTCATAAAATATTCTTAAAATATATAACTATATTAGAATAGAAGTATGAATAGAATATATATATATGCATATATATATACGCGCGAATTTCTATTAAATATATTCGATCATATTTCTAACATTTTCATGACGATTAAAGGAAAAAGAAATAAATATCCACTCATAAGATGCAATAAAAGAAATGAAATAACTTTAAATATTATTCGAACTGTCACATCGATGAACAGCTTTACTAAAAATTCATACGCGATTCGAATTCTGTGGCCTGAAGAAATTGAGATCTTCTGACAATCAAACAATATTTAACAATATCAAAAATATAAACATGATAATTTTCTTTCTCATATGAATTATTTTTCTCATGAATATAATTCATAATTTTAACGTTACCAAATAATATAAATATTTTAATAATTGACTTACCATTTTTTATTAAACAGAAATTGTATCCGAAGTCCGAAGACACTTAGAGCTACGGTTGATTATGGACGCACAGAACACGTTACATCGACTTTGACACACTTCTCGCGAACCTCGGGAAAGTAACCAAATTATTGGTTTCTAATATAATAGAAATTTGAACGATATTTTCTATGATTATAGCGTAATAGCACTCGCGAATAAACAGAGTTCAATTCTACGACTTATTCAAATGAATGACATTAGAATACACCAAAACAGTTGCTCACCGGTACAACATTTAGAAAAATCATCAGTTTACGTCTTACAACTCCAAACATCCGAAACAGACTGGCTGCTTCCTTTTCGAATCATAATTTATCTTCCAAAAGTTCCGTAAGGAGGCAGCACAAAACAGATGCGCCATATTTAACCGTCAATAAGAGCGCTTTCGTTCAAATAATACTCTAATCAAAACAAAGCAACTTATGTATTGAAATTCTTTTTCTCTTTTAAATATCTATTAATATTTGGAATATTTAATAATATTATGATACGAAAATAATCTGTTTAATTAATATTAATCAAGAATTTTTCCAAAAATGAAAATATTATATACAAAAAATTACTATTGAAAAAATTGAATTCAAATTTTTATTCTGTATTTCATTTAACAATTTATATAAATAAAATATTATATTTAATAAGAAAACTCTAAAATTAAATTTCTATTCTATTAAAATAATTTCTAAAATATGTTGTATATGATTTCCATTAATTATTAATTTTTATTAGAACACAAATTTATTACAAATTTTATTCAATATTATACTAATATCCTCATAGATATATAAATATTATAACAAATCATTTTTATATGATTCTTTTCATTTTATGAACGATTAGAATTTCAAATTGATCTCTCTAAAAAGCAATCGGCATCAATAAAATCAATTATTCTTAAATAAATTGAAGATTATAATTAAGAATTAAAAAGCCAACAATGATCAAGAATGATCATTGAACAAATAATTGTATTATATATTATTTGTTATAATATAATAAAAAAAAATAAAACAAACAATAAAATATAAATAATTTTTACTAGAGATTCTTTTTGTTTGTTGAATTCGAAATTATGAATCTAAACCATTATATTTTCTTAAAATTAATTATAAATTAATTATAAAATTTTATTTTTAAATCTATTCCTAAAGAAAATATGCAAAAAATAATACATTTATATAGTAATTTTTTTTACTACATATTTATCTATCTAATCTATTCTATTTTTTGAAATAATAATTAAGATAATAATAAATATAAAAATAATACTTAATTTAATTTAAATTTAAAGAAGAAAATAAATAAAATTAAAATTTGTTATCATAAATTTGCAATTTTTATAACATAAGACTACAAAAATTTAAAGCATTCTAGCAGAAAGTTTAATAAATAGAAAATTAAATTACTTGTTCTACGTAAAATTTTATGTATAAAATTCTGTAATTGATTGTATCAAATACATTCAATTATTTTTGGATTCATATTTCTTATTTTATAATATAAAATTAAATAAGTTTGAAAAGTATTAGCTACTAACTTTATTATATAAAATTTACAAAATATTAATTTAAATCATACTATAAATAGAATAAACACTTATACACATATTTTTAAAAACATTTTCAATTAAACTAATGAATTTACTTTATTTAATTCCTTTGATAATTGATGTCAATGCTCTGTATTATCAAATAATTAAAGCATGAACTACGTTGTTCAAGAATAGAAAACATAACGAAGTTCAAGTTCTCGATATGTATTAAATATTTTATTCTAAATTATATATGAATTATAATATTTATTTTATATTTATTCAAAATTTTAATCGAAATATTATATTTCATATATTAAATTTAAGTTAATATTTATAATAAATGAATAAATGACTAGTATATGAATAATACAAAAATAAAGATGAATACTAAATTCTGATCGAAATATCGAAAAGTTAGACAAAACAATTTACATGTCGTTAAAAAAAATAATGATGAATTTACTATATCTGTAATATAAAACAAATACACGAATTATATAATTCTATCTTTCAATCGTTTCAAAAAATTTACGGTAACAAACGTTACCAACCATGCTCGCAAATATTCTATGCAATGGTTCATGCCGCTAGAGCTCGTGGTTGACGACCAAATAAGCAGCAGCGCAGTATTAATCTGACATTAATCGTAATTCTTCTCTCAAAGTAGAGAAGAGGTACCTTTCTTCAAATTTTCGTATAATATTCTTCAAACTACTGTGATCGATTGATTCGAAAAAATGCCGCGCGGTAAGCGCACAAATTATTATTAATTTTCACTTGATACACTTATCATCTTCTTTATCACACTTATTGGCAAGGAAAACGCAGTTTCGTATATTTTGACCTCGAGAAACGAATTTGGATCAAAAGATAATTTTTTTTAGGTAAATATGTCAGTTACAAAGGCCGGAGTCGTCACTTCACTAACCCCGAGGAACTGGAGGAGCAACGACGCCAGGAGGAAAAAAAACTCCAATGGAGAGTCAGTATTTTTAAGTTAACCAACAGCACGACGGCTTAGATATTATTGTTAAGTACGTAAGGTCGAATTATCCTTTGACGGTCGAGCGTGATTGCGTGCACCATTACTGAGATTTTTCACGGAGCACAATACTCCATGTTGGTGCAACTTACTGTTTGAGAGACCGGGCACAAACCTTCAGAAATTCTTAAGAATCAAAAGCGATGGACAGAGCTTAAGATGATTCATTTCATCTGTTCTTTCCACTTGCATTTGTTCTTTCGAAAAAATGTTACATAAATTTTACTTAGGGGGCTGGTAAATAGAAATTCATTAATATAAATGAGAAGCTTCATATTTAAAAGTTATAATAATATTGTTCTTTTTAGAAAAATAAAGGAAAGGATAGCTCTAGTGATGAGGATGAGGAACCCAAAGCACATGGTGATTCAATAAAAAATCATAGTTCTTCAGGGACAGATACTGAAAGTGAATCGGAATCAGAATCTGAAACTGAAGTAAGTTATTTAATAAAATATATAATTAATAAATAATTTATAAATTATTTATAAATTATATTTATAAGTTAATTTTTTAACTTATAGGGAAAAACAAAGGGTGTAGAAAATTTAATTCAAGTTGAAAATCCAAATAGAGTTCAAAAAAAGGCAAAAAAATTATCCCAATTAAATCAATCTCTAGACTCAGCAAAACCAGATTTATCTCGGAGAGAACGGTACAAATTTATGACATATAAAAAAATATATATATTCTAGATTTCATGAATTTTTCCTTTTCTTCTTTCAGAGAACAATTAGAAAGACAAAGAGCATATGCAAATTACCAGAAATTACATGCGGCAGGTAAAACGGATGAAGCACGTGCGGATTTAGCACGATTAGCTATAGTTAAACAACAACGAGAAGAGGCGGCTAGAAAACGAGAAGCCGAGAAGAAACAAAAGGAGCTTGCCCTACAGAGAAAAACGGAACTTAGGCAAAAAGCACTCGGCAAAAAATCCTAGAACGTTTCATTTTGATCAATTATAAAATATTTGATGTCACAGCAATTATTACATTAACAATGACGAACAGTTTAAAATCTACTTTCATATTGATACTAAATAATTAAATCAATTCACGCATTTACAATATGCGTTTGATGAAAATATCCTTGTTTAATTATATATAAATACAATTATTACAATAACTGAACTTACTCATGTTTTATTTTACTCCTACAATTTTTTTTAAATAATCGCTAGAAACCAATAAAATATTAATAATTAATAAAAAAAATGGAATAGAATAATTAAATACTTTAAATTGTAAATTATAGAAAAAAAAATACAAATATAACTATTACTAAACTATTAATAATAATAAACTTCTATAATAATAATAATAAAATTAAGTAGTTAATACAAAGTTCACGGATTTAATAATATGTAGTATATATGCATGCTGAAGGAACGGAAATGATATAGAACGTAGTAGAGTTTCTGCAGCAAAACTTGCAAGATGTGGTCCGATATCGTTTATGTTTCGTTGTTATTATTTTGTGTATTTATCGGATTTTATTATCGAAAAATTGAAGATCCACATGTAAAAAAATGGATCGGCACGATTATTGGTATTGTAGTGATGGCAATTTGTTCTGGAAATTATATACTTTATCCTTTCATGCTTACTCTGATTAATGCGATTATCATAACCAAGCTTTCGCCAAAGTATGATATATTACTTAAATTTTTATATATTTGTTTATTAAATTAAAAATGTTGTATTTTATTTTAATAGATATCATATAACGATCTTCATGTTATTAAATTATATATGTTTAAAACAGTTGATAATTTATCACATTTTATTCGATAATATAATTTTATGTTTTTAAATTATAAATAAATTAAAAATTTATTATTCTAAATATATATTAATAATATATTAATATTCATTTAATAACATTCATTTAATTCTTAAGAGAATTAATAAATTATTTTAAAAAAAGAATTCATTATTATGCAACGATTAAATTTCAATGAGTAATTATTGATGATAAGTAATTAATTCTCTCGAAAATAAATATTAATACATGTTTTTAAGAATAATAAATTTCTAATTTAATTATATTATTAAATAAAATGCAATAAAGCAAAAAAAAAAATTTATTCATTTATTCATTAATTAAATATTTATTAATTAAATTAAAAAAATTAAACTTTACATTTTAAATTAATAGTTTAAAATGTAAAGTTTAACTTAATTTTAAAAAATTTTGATATAAATACACATGACTATAAATATAATAAATATAATAAAATATATATATATATTTTTTCATATATTACTTTTAAAATAAAATATATTAACATATTAACCCCTTTTTTCTTTTTATATTTACAGGAAATGTCATTTGGTCAGCTTTTATTTTTCATTTTTTTATTTACTTTTTTTGTCTCGACTAGGAGATTATATTGGTTTACCAATAGCACCAAGTCATACAAATCTAATACTCATGATATTAACATTAAAATTATCTGGATTAGCATTTGAAATAAATGATTCCATTAATGCGCCAGCTGATGATATACAAGGAATAAATTCTGAAGCAATGAAAAATATTGGATTCTTAGATGTTTTTCATTATGGTTTTGGCTACATGGGACTTATGACTGGTAATTTTATAAAACTTTAATTGTTAAAAGTAATTTAATTTTAATGTTATTTTAAACAGTATATTTCTTTTTATAGGACCATATTATCGGTATAGAACATATTGGGACCATCTACACAGACCATTCTCTAAAATCATAGATCCATGGCCTCTTACATTTTATAAACTTAAACAAATTGCATGTTTTATTGTGTTATTTTTTATAATGGATTACTTGTATCCTGTCAGAGTAATATCAGCCTTTGCTTTAACAGATATAGATAGAACTATGAATATTTAAGTTCCATTTTATATTTCAGTACATTTTAACTGAGGAATATGCAGAACGATCTTTCCTTTATAGACACTTTTATATGTATCCCACATTTATAGTTTTTCGATTAAGAATGTATATTGGAATGGGTCTAGCAGAATGTGGTTGTCAAATGGCTGGACTAGGTGCATATCCCTTAAAATGTACTCCTATACAAGGACTAGGACCTAAAGATTATAAAACCACAGAGGAACTGTAAGAATAACTTTTTCTTTCAATATAATAATATAATTTGAAACGAAAATATATCAATTAAATATTACAGATCTAAAATGCCTGAAAAATTGAAAAATGAAGAATTAAACTTTGATGCTGTGTACAATATGAATGTATGGAAATTAGAAAAATGTAATTCAACAAGAACAGCTATGAAAGCATGGAATGGTTGTGTTCAATATTGGTTTGGTGTTTACATTTATAAACGATTTCCATTGAAAAGTTTACGAACTTTTGCAACTTTAACACTTTCTGCTATTTGGCATGGTTGGTCATCTGGTTATTTTCTCTGTAACTGTCAGATTCCTCTTTTTCTGTTATCCGAAGATATAATTATAAAATTCTATCAACAAAGTAAAGAAAATAGTATTGTAAGTTTCATTTTTAATATCTATTCTTATCTAATTATATATATTAATTTACATTCATGATGTTCATTATGTTACTTTACTTTTTAGGCCAAAAAATTGTGGTATATAGTAGGATGGTATGAAAAAACAACTTGCATGGCATATTTAGGAACACAATTCTTAGTATTAGATTTTAAAGAAAATTTACAGTTTTGTAAACAAGTATACTTTTCTGGACATATCATAGCATTTTTATTATACATAGGTGCTCTTTATTGCAAGCCATATATTTTGAAGAAAAGTACAGAGAATAAGGATAAGGACAAGTAGCCTGTGATTTTTTTTACATCATAAAATTGCATGTCTTTAATATTTAGAAACATAAGACTATTTAAATGAAATGTGTGTTATAATACATTTCATATAATTTTACGCATAAAATCATTTAAATATTTTTAGCATAATATTAAAAATTTTTTCTTTAATGTAATTTTACATACAAGTCATCATATAAAGCCATCTAAATATTTTTAGCATAGTACTAAAAGATATTTTTTTAGAATAATTTTTTTTAATAAATGATAAAAATTTGACATCTAGTCAATGATTATTTAATGATGTCAAAAAACTGTAAAATATTTCTTGTTGTTATTATTATTATAATTTAGAATTATTAAATATTATAGATTTATATAATTTTATAAAGTAAGACTTTTTTTGAATATTTAGAGGGTTTATAATCATTTATTTATATAAATAAGAAATAAAAAGTTCTATTTCTTCAACAAGAATTCTTTATTGATTGAACTCTTCATTTCTCTACAAAGATTCCATTCTTTCCTTAAAAAAAAAATCTTTTATTAACTGTGACATTGTCTTACCTCTAAAATACTTACTATTTTAATGACGAGTGCCTGAAAAACCTGAAAAAAAACACAGGAAAAGCAAAAGAATTTTCCCATTTCCCTCCCTCACCTTTTTCAATTATTTGAAATGTGGCGGCAAGTGTTTCAAGCGATGATCATATAAAAATTAATTTTATAGATCTTACCGAGAACGATATGCGATGCAAGACTCTTTTATAAATATATTAAACAAACACATTTGACAAGTTTTTAATTAAAAGTTGTATAGAAAAAAATACCAACAAAAAAAAAAAGAAAAAAAGTGAAAATCAAAATAAAATTTGTTTTAAAAATTCATTACATATATTAAATTATTTAAAAAAAAAACTACTTTTAAAAATTTATAAAATGTAACTATCAAATTAAATCACTTTGCGATTATATTGATTAATTTGTGAAATATTTATATTTACGATTCAAATTCGTAACTTACGAATTAAATCTATATAGCTGGGAATAAAATAATATATAGTTGGTTTCGAATAAACCAACATTGCCAAAAATCTCTTTTACGAAATACGCGAAACAATTGGTAGACATAAAAGTTGAAATGTCGAGTCGTCGCTCGCGAGGTCTGGTGATGTTCACGTGCTACCTGCAAACCGGACGGTGGTCAAGACCAGCAACTGTGTGTGGCTTTTCGTTGTGCTCTCTGCAAATTTGTCTGCATTCTCGAGACCGTACCCTCTGCAATTTCTGCACGCCGACCCCCCACAGAGAGAGACAGCTTTCGCTCACACACTTTCTCTCTTTTTCTCGCCCTGATCGACTCGCGCGAACCTGCTTTCACCAGACCACCAACCGCTCGCTACTGCAAACTGCTTACAGCCCTGCTACTCGGCTTACTGCTTACTCTCAGCTACCCCATCATCAGCTACACTCGCCACGCCACTCCTTTCCACCGCCTGTGGCACCATAAAATTACAACTTAGTTATAAGGAATAAACGTGTTACATCCGTGTGTGAGGATTTTTATATCTTTTTATCTTTTGTTGAAAGATGTTTGACGATCGATTAATTATAATATTAATATAATATTAATAAAGCCAATTTTAAATATTAAAATTTAGTTTACCTAAGATTAGTTATCTACGATTAATGTTATCTTATAAAAGATTCGAGGAAATAATATTTAGAAATAAATGATTAAAATATTGTTTACAGTAATAAAAGTCCTAAAAAATATATAGAATATATCTCTTTGATTACTATATTATCAAATTTATATCTCGATTGGGGATATTATGTTTTTAGTTTTGTTATACTAGATAATCGAAAATACAAAATTACGATATTTAAATTTTTTCATAGATAAATATAAATAATATAAAATTTCATGATTGAAATTATTTTTTTGACAGTATTATCTACATCTATATGTGTAGTATTTAAACACTGTCTAAAACTATGTGAATAGTTCCGTCTTCTGCATTTTATTACACTTTATTATAAATGGCAAACTTACATAAATAAATCTGTATACTGTTACAGAAACGCAGAACTTATGTCTACAATCTATATATGTATATATATATATATATATCGCGATTTTAATTTTTCTTGTTTCTCTCTCTCTCTCTCTCTTTTTTTAGATTAATTATGTCGTAATATTAATTTATCAATCGAGAGTTAGGTAATCATAAATAATAGAAAACTAAGAACTCAAAATTCTTTTAAAGATATTAGCTTAAAATTTATACAGAAGTCGGACTCAAGTCGACCACATACAGTTTACATTACCTGCTAATTACCATATTAACACCCTCATGTATTTCCAGGAATAATTTAATCCACCTTGCTTGATTCAAACAATTTCAAAATAACAGAAAACGATTTCACAATTGATATTTTATCGAAACAGTTGGTTTCTAATTATTACTTAATTAATAATTATACTATGTAGTTAAAAGTATTCATAATGACTCAAGAAGTGGAAGGGAAAAAATGAAATGTTATTGTTTTTAATCCACTTATATCGAGACATACTAAAAATTGTGCACACTATATTTCAATATAAGATAAAAATATCATATGATCAAACTAATAACAATTATTTTTATTTATTTATAAAGTGTAAATTCGAATATTGTCTGCTCTATTTGTCCAAAATTCAAGTTTATCTTTAAGAGCAGAATTCAGAAAGATCATTTAAAATTCATATAAGTGCTAGAGCATATAACAAACTTTAATTCATTGATCAAAACAAGCTGTTTCGGTCGCTATAACAACGTCCATACACGCGAAAACAGAAAAACACATTTACTTTCTTCTGATCAGGAATAAGCACTGCTTGAGACAATATATCACTTAACAGAGTAAGAATAATTATGAAAACTTGCAAATGAAAATCTTCGCGAGTCCAATAAACTAATAGTCTAGATACATTACATTAAAATTAGTTTTTGGGTTTTATCTTTTTCACCCAAGAAGTGCGTTGTCATAATTAATATGTAAGTGACAGAAAAAATGTGAACGTGCGACAGTGTTGCTCTAGATATAGAGGGTAATAGAATACCTTTTTTGTTCTCAAGAAACGATTATTCTGCACTTGCGGCGCGTGCATCTGTTCGTAGTTGTACTTGTATATGGTTCAACTTCAGTCCCTGTAAAGATAAAATTATATAAATATTTATTTTCTATTACAAATTCTAAACTAAAAAAAAAATTTAATCTATAAGTATAAAATTTACCTTGATTTGGAACGACTATCTTTTTGTCTATCTGGAGACTTGCTACGAGAACGAGACTTTCCACGCGAGCTTTTACTGTCAGAACGCGAGCGGCTACGACTGCGACTATATGAACGCCTACGATCTCTATCACGACTTCTTGATCTACTACGTGATCTAGAACGTGAGCGTCTTCGATCTCTGCTCCTGCTACGTGATCTACAAATAATATCGTTAATAAAGTTATTTTATTTTAAAATATATATAATGAAAAATATTTTAATAATAATTACCTTCCTCGTCGACGACTACCACGACTTCGGTGTGGTGAAGTTGGTCGTCCATATCGTGCCATTTGAACTCTAAGTTCCCTACCATCTAACAGCCTTCCATCCATAGCATCTAATGCATCTTCTGCATCGCGTTTATCATAAAATCTAAAATAAAAATTCATAATAGTAAAAATGTTATTTTTAGATTTATAAAGAGTAAATAATTAATTGGATAATATACATTGATGTTTGTTACTATCTACTTCATTGTCTAAATATCATAGTGACGTCACATATATTCTAATAAGCAAAATGTAATTAATATTGATAAATATGAAAAAAAAACTTATTTTTTAATATACCTGACGAATGCAAATCCACGGCTTTCTCGAGTAAAGCGATCTCTAGGGATGTAAATGTCGCCGACCTCACCACATCTTTCGAACACGCGTCTCAAATCCTCCGGCGTCGTTCTATACGTGAGATTATCCACTTTTAGGGAAACCATCCCATCAATACGCGGCGGTGGTCTGCCGTAACTCATTTTCTTGAATTTTTCTTGATCTTCAGAAATAATAAAAACAGCACTTCAATATGAAAAATCAGTTTTAGATCAAGTACTGGACATCCGCGCACATCAAAGACAAGATGGCGAGTAACGGAAGAATGAATTCAAGGCGCAATATGGTAGGAAATGACGTAAATAAAATTTCTTACTACGTGCATCAATTTCAAGTTCTTTTCATCAAAAATCTTTTTTTTTTATAATATATAAAAATAATAAATAAGATATATAATATATCATTAATTTAGTAATAATCTTTTAAATAAATAATTATGATTTCGTAATTTAAATAAATAGCAATAAAGATTAAAAATACAAACAAAAAAAAGAAATAAAAATTATCCATTAACAATATTTTTTTTATTAAATATGCGAATTTCATTTTAATTTGTTTATATATTTTATAAAAATATTTATATGTTTTAAATAATTTCATTATATCAGATATAAAATGACTCACGTTGTTCAATGTCCGAATAATTTCAAATTTAAATTCGTGATAATTTGTATGAAAAGAAAAAGAGAGAAAAAAGATAAAAACAGTTAAAATTGCTCATTTTATCTAAAGCAAAAGAAAGTACAAAAATTTTTAATGCAATGTTATTCCACATTTTAAAATGTGAAAAATGGAAAATAATGTAAAATGACGTTAATAAAAAGAATCAATAAATAGATATCGACTCGTTTTAGTGTTTCATTCCCGAATAGATTTTTATATAAAAAAATTATATTCCTCATGTACAGTATCAAACACACGCATCCAATGGTAGTAAACATTGATCGTAACAAATCATTAACGCATTACTTTTTTATTTAAGTTTCAATGAAGCTGCATCTGTGGTATCACAACAATGCCCTTGCAATAAGATGCCCCCCAAAATAATCTGTCAACATTGCTTAAAAATCCTTCGATACAATTACAGCTTCGATCTCGTTTTATACGTTTATAAAAACGAATCGTACCAACCGTAAGAAAGGGCAAACGCAGTTGTACATTTTGGTCCTTTGCCCAGCGATCTTCTGTGTCTGTTGTATCGACATGTTTGCGCAAAACAGACGATCTTATACGTGATAAAAAGAGACAAAAAGTAAAAGGAGAGAATTAAGAACAAACGTTGATTTTTAATATATTTAGAAAATCGAGTAAAAAAAGAATTAAAAAAAGAAAGCAAACGTGCTTACAACAAACACAGTACGTACAATACTTTTTTGACTTAGCTAGGCGGTAGGCGCAAAAAATAAGAGACGTCGAGTAATCGCAATTTTCGCCCTGTTTTTTTTTTTTTTTTTATTTTTCTATCTTCCTTTTTCCCTAAAGATTCATTGATGAATCGTTGACAGAATCACGTGCATGTGTATAAAGTATGGTCTCAAAATTAAAAGAAAAAAAATAAAAGAAAAAAGTTGTTTATAAAAAAATTTTTAACAAATCACATAGAAACTCAATAAATAGTTTAGAAATGTTTAACAGGTATCTTATTATTACATGATATAAAAAAAGAAAAAAGAGATTTCTCTCTAAAAGATTCTTATTAAAAAAAAAAAAAAAAAATGAAGATAGATGAAATTTTTGAATCAAAGAAATAATACATAATAAGATATAAAATATCTTTGAAAAATTACACCCGTAATATCAATGGAGTATTTAGGTACACCTGTCATGGGTGATTCTTCCCTTATCGATGTTTCACGTTAAAATTATAAATTAAAAAAGCATCCCAACAATTTCATATATGGGATATATGATTCATTAAAAATATAATATTAAAAATACATACATACATACATACATATATATATGTATATATGTATACATGTATATATATGTATATATTAAAACACAGGCAAAATGAATTTAGCAGGTCGATTGTACGAAGGGTAAATGTTCGAATAACGAAGAGAAGAAATATCCGATAATTGTGAAATATTTGAGACCGAACTTGGACGACGCGACGTCTCTTCATGGTGCATTCGTGGGCGCTGGACGTCGCCCCGTTCAAGCCACCGCTTACACTAATTACTATTCAACAATTCAAAATACTTATAATGATACACACAACCATGAATAATCTCAACAGCTGCTGGCCTTAGCCCGAACTAACTTATTATCGTAAATATTCGTGGATACAAAAGTAATTCATTTTCTTCTTTATATCTTTTTTTGTCATCGTTTCGTTATCGCTCTATTGCTATATCATCGCGTATTTAATAACATACACAAGTGCATAAATATGCTAACGAGTTTTTTGTTTTAAGTTAGTTTCCGGCCTGTCAGAGCTCCGCAACGCTCTTATACATAACGCTGGTTCATCAGATCGTGCATTAGAATATTTCGACATTAATTATTTCTCTTTTTCTATCTCTTTGTTGCTTCTTTCATTCGAAATTGTTTCTTTCTTCGCTCGGTTCGCATTATATGGTTGTATACAAAATATTGTAATCAGGGCACTCACAATTATCAGTCGCATGCGTTTTCTCTTTCTCTTTTCTTTTCTTTCTCCTATTTTTTATTTCTTCGAACAATAATTATTAAAAATTATAAATCGCGATACATTTTTTCGTTCTATATCATCTTTTTTTCTTTTATTTTCAATCACTTGTTCTTGAATTAAAGGAAAAGAAAAAGGAAAAGAAAAAGAAAACGCATCTCTCCATTCATCATCCACTGCCTTTACAATAATTCTTTCTCGGCTTCACGTACGATTAACTCACCAATCCGTGTCTCACGTTTTAATTTATATCCGTTTATTAATATTATTTACGCTCGATATAAAAATAATACTCAGTCGATTAGTACAGATTTAATACTCAGTGTAAGAACTGGGGAAGGGGTCTTGGCGCTTCCAGTTTTTACCATGTTTTTTTCTCTTTTTTCTTTTTTTTTTTTTTTTTTTTTTTAAATTCTTTTTACAATGTTTTTACGATTTACGCCTCTGTTATCGTTTTTTGTCTCTCCACCGTTTAATATATCGTGTGTACGTTTCACTTATGCATTAAGTTACGTACAATGTAAATGTACGTCATGTGTGTATAATGTGTGTAATGCGTAATAAACGCGCATTTAATGGGTATGTGTATTTATGTATGTGACTTAGGATTTCTACCGAGGAACCCGGTGAAATCAAAAGATTCACGGTCGCGCAGACGGACGGAACAAAGCTGCGAGTTAATAATTAATTATTCCTCGACTCAAATCGTAGAGGTATCGACGATTTACCTCTATTATTATTATTTTTTTTTTTTCTTCATATCATCCCGCGAAAACCCCTTCTCTCTTTGTCATGTACAATTATGCATTCTTCGTCTCGTTTTTTTTTTTTT